CAACAACACCAACAACGGCAAAGACACCACCAACAACAACAAGAGCTTCGTTGCCAGTGGCCAAGGTGCCCCCTGTCCCGCCACCACCAAGCACGGTTGCATTGGCGGCAGTGAGCGCGGCGACGGGGCCAGCAGTAGCGCGACTGGAGGGCCCTCCTCTTCCGCCACCGCCGTCTGTATCTGCAACGCAAACACAACAACAACAACAACAACAACAACAACAACAACAACAACAACAACAACAACAACAACAACAACAACAACAACAACAACAACAACAACAACAACAACAACAACAATACTATCAGCAGCAACAACAGCCGCACTATCAGCAGCAACACCAATATTCCCACTATCCACAACCACCACCACCACCACCACAACCACAACCACAACAACAACAACAACAACTCCAACAACAACAACAACTCCAACAACAACAACAACTCCAACTCCAACAACAACTCCAACTCCAACAATATTCCCACTATCCACAGCATCAGCAACAGTACTACCATCACCATCAACACGCGTACACTCAATACTACCAGCAGCACCCGCACCACGGCCACCAACAGCAGGCCTATTATCCTCAACAGTACGGCTACCACCAGCCACCACCACCACCTCCCCCTGGTTGACAAGTCTTGATGGTTCCGCGTGTGTTTGTGTGTTGACTGCTCAATGGCACAGTGTCTTCCCTGTCTGTTTCTCCCCGTCTCCCCTCCCTTTGGTCCCCCAGCCAACCTCTGAGGTGTTGTCATGGCATCACATAAAACCAGGTGATGCCGTACGTGCGCACAAGTTGATGGTTGCATGTATTTGGAAACACTGCGCTGTGCCGACTGCCGAACGAGACACTACACGTGCCACCGCTACACGCGGGCAGAAACACATACACACATGATGGACAGCACCACGACAAAAGAAGGCACACCTTCAACGACCACGAACGAGACAGACATCCAACCTTCCTTCTTCCCCTCCTTACGTGACAAGGGATACGCACAGTCAAACATTCAAGAACAGCGTGCTACGGTCAGAGGAGAGGTGGGGCGTGTCAGCAAACGTAACGCATGCAGCACGCGGTCAGGGTGTGGAGTTGGTTTTGGTTTGGTCCTTTGATTGGGTTCTAAAGTGGGTTGCTTTCTGGATGATTGGTAGAGCTGCACTCACTTCTCGTCCACGCCAGCCTGGTCCAAACACAGTGGCAAACAAACACGCGAATGGCGGATTGATCAGGTTGAGTCGAGGTTGACGTGGTGGGTGGCATACGTGAGAACAGGTGGTGGGTGTTACACGTGAAAACGGAGGTGGCAATAATATGTCAACACGGGAAGGAAGGCAAGGACAGTACCTTCACACTTGTCCGCTCAACGCCACAACACAATCCGCGGCGATACACACACACACACACACACACACACACACACACACACACACGCACGCGCACTGCCTCGCTTTCAAGCTGGCTCAAATCCACAGTGCACTGTACCTGTGCAAGCAAGTCGCCGAGGTTCTTCTCAAGCTCGTCAATGCGGGAACCCATCTCGTCGATGCGGCCTACAGAGTGATGACAGTGGTGGCACGCACAAACAAAGTTGGTCAACACACGCGCTACCGGTTCATGCGCAAGCATCAATACACACACATGTGTGTGTGCAAGCGTGCAGTTGTTCATGTGTGTGTGTGTGTGTGTGTGTGTGTGTGTGTGTGTGTGTGTGTGTGTGTGTGTGTGTGTGTGTGTGGAGGGGCGTGTCGTTGTTCCCCACGAACAAAAATCTCATGCAGCAAGTATCATGATGCCACACAAAAGTATACTCACCAACAATCTGGTCGCTCATGTTCTGGAACTTCTCTTGCTGTCAGGTGTACAATGCGCATGTGTGCGCATGTGTGTGTGCATGTGCATGTGCGTGCATGTGTGTGAGAATGAGCCAGACCGAACAAGTGGTACCAGCAGCAACCAAACATCCACCCACCAACAGCAACCAAACATCCACCCACCAACAGCAACCAGGCATCCACCCACCAACTTCAACAACGAAACATCCATCAGTGTCACTCCTTATCCACCACGCCCACGCTTACCACACACACACACACACACACACACACACACACACACACACACACACACACACACACACACACACACACGCACCAAACTATTCAACCAAGCGTACCATCTGGTTCAGGAGGGTCTGAACAACAGCTGTGAGATCCTGCACGCCGTCGCCATCGCCGCCTGATGCCATTGCGGCGTCCTTGCCTCCCTTGTCAGCCATCCTTTTGTTGTTGGTGGTGTGTTTGGTTGTTGTCGTGCACAGACGTCGTTCGTCGTTCGTCGTTGGCTGGCTGGTGTGTTTGGTCGCAAACAACAAAATGCGGTTTTGTTAAAGTCTTCCGTGAACTATCGCTTGATTTTTCAAAGTTGGCGGCGGCGACGACAGCGATCAACAGAATTTTTTTTTTTAGCTGCAGCAGTTTGCAGCCGCCCTGAACAAGAAGGAAAGGGAAGGAGACGCAAAAGCAAGGTGAGGTGCACGAAGGGATGAAGGGAAGAATGTATGAAGAGAGGCAAGGAGCGGGTTATGTTGAAGAGTGAGGAAGGCGCACATACACGTGTGTGTACGCGTGTGTGCTTGGTGGAGACACACAGTGAAGAATGAATGCAGAAAGTGGAGTCGGTTGATTCAATTCTTGCACCTTCAGAAGAGAAGGGTTGATGATGATATCAATCAATGGTGACGGAAGCAGGGATGTGTTGTTGTTGATCCTTCATCGTCCCAGTCCTCGTTGTCGCTGTCACACACATCTCCACCGGCCGTTTATATTGACATGCAATTGTTGGCTGTTGCTGGCCGGTTGCTGTTGGCTGCTGTTGCTGGTCTCTCATTTGCATTTTGTGTGTCTGCGTGGGTGTGACGTTTCTTTGTGTGTGAACCAGTGCAGCCGCACCAGGTGAGACCGTTACTGCAGCTGGTTGGCGTCGTTGCTGGTGGAAGCTGTTGCTGTTCCGACTGACGTTCAAGTGCACACAGACAAAAAAGTACGCATCGCATCTTTGGTGCACTTGCTTGTCCTGGCACAGCACTGCGCAGCTCTAGTGTATTTGTATGTGTGTGTGTATGTGTGTGTGTGTGTGGTCTAGGTTGCGGGTGTGCAGTTTTGTTTGCAATGTGTTGTGTATTGTGGTGTGTGGCAGTGGTATTTTATGTCTTGCGCCTCCACACTGCCACCGGGCTGGTTCCTGATGAAGCTGACGCGGCCCCCGTGCACGCTGCGGCCCGTGCCCTTCTTGTGGGGGCTTGTTGGTGTTGTTCAGCAGGAGCACACGTGCTGCGTGTTTTGTGCAGCTGTTGACCGTTGACCATGGCGGAGCTCGTTGCTCGCTATGGGCGCGCCGACGTGCGTGACAAGGCCGACGCTGGGGAGGAGCTTGTGCAGCACATCGATGCCGGTCACACCCTGGAGGAGGCCGACGTGAGCCAACTGCTCGGCTTTGTTGCGAAGGACCTCACATCCAACAACTTCAAGGTCAGCCCTACTCCTGTCAGTTCCGTTTGTGTGTGTGTGTGTGTGTGTGTGTGTGTGTGTGTGTGTGTGTGTGTGTGTGTGTGTGTGTGTGTGTGTG